TGAAAAGCAGGTTTCGGGGGTGGAGGCGGTGTTCCCAGCAGGCGGGGAAGGGAGAGCTCACTGGGGTCACCCAAGCCAAGATGCCACAACCCATGGGGGCTGTATGGGGATCATGTTCACCTACCCCTTTCTCGGTGGGCTCCCCTCCAAAGTTCTCATCCACGTACCAGTCGGACTCCCACTCCCAGTGCGGTGAGGGCAGCGCCACCCCGGCTAGCGGCTGGTGCTGGAGCCCACTCACATCACTCCACGGCCAGCGGTCACTGGGCAGGAGCTTCTCACAGAAGCCACCCACGGGGTTCCAGCGCTGGGGGCAGGGCAGAAGGAGATGAGATGGGCAGCCGGGCCAAGCCTATGGGGGCCGCCGCTGAGACAGGCAGCAGGGCCTTTCCTAGGTCAACATCCATGCAGCTTCTCTTGCATGGAGAGCCAGCAGGGGGCCTGCAGCAACTAAGGGACCCAGGACCCCCCACCGCAAATCCCCAGAAGAGAGAACCCTCCAGGCAGGCAGTGAGGGCCTGGCCAGCCCCAGCTCCTGGAAGTGGCTTGGAGCCCACTCTGCTGGGACCTGGCAACCTCCTGTGTTCCAGACACAGATGGTCTTGGGCCGCAAAGCTCCTGAATGCTACCTATTCCCAGGTGTGATGTATAATGGACTCTGTGCTAACATACCAGGTGCCCTCAGAGCTGCCAGCTTTGCCTCAGAGCAGTCCCGTGTGTGTCACAGTAGAATGCGTGCCACGGCTGCCCCTCCTCCCTGCCCTGGCTGGACTCAACCTCCAGCCTTTCAGTTAGCAGCTTAATTCGGCATCACTGAAGAGTATATATTATACTCCAAGCACCATAAACTTACTATACCCTTAAGGTTGGGCAATCTACTTCCGTAGTGATACTGCCTCAGAAACCCAAAGAGGGGTCGCTGTGAGTCAAGTCCAACTCGACAGCAAATAACAATACTGTTTTATTATAATACAGTAAGCATGTACTGTTACTACAGTATTTATGGTAACATTTTATATTATACTACAGCCTTATCTATTGGACTTACCACACTGCTATTTAATGCTAACGCTTAGTATCACTTAAGTATTAACTGAGTATAATACAAGTATTCCATACTAACTGTAAGGAAGGAAATGAATGCAGAAAACGGGGACTGTATTTTCCTTCTGTTTCGTCATTTTAACCAACCACCTAACAAATCAAGCAGCTCAACACACCAAGCAGTGTGGCAGGGCTGAGAGTGCCAGGAAGTTACCTGGTTCTCGTAGGCCTCCTCCCGGTGCCGGATGGGGACGTCACTGGCACACACGTACACGTAGACTTGGTTGTCAGCGGCGATGCCCCAGCAGCACTGCCGCACGGCGCTGACCCGCTTGAACTCCAGCTGGGTGTCTCGGCAGGGCTCCCAGTACTGCCCGGCGGTGGACAGCGTGTACACGCGCCCAAAGAGGTCCACTGCCCACAGTACCGAGGCGGGCATGGTGCAGCAGCAGCTGGGGACAAACCCGTGGTCTGTGTCCCAGCCAGCTCCCAGCCAGCAGCCCACAGGACATTGGGGACCCCCTCCTGTGCCACCCTACAGATGCAAAACCGAGGCCCAGAGAAGGGAATGAATGGCCAGCCGGGGGACAGACAGAGGTGGAGCCTGGCTTCTGTCTGCTGTTGTTGTGGGCTGCTCTCCGGTTGGCCCAGCCCACGGCAGCCCCGTGACAGCAGAAGGCATCACTGCCCGGTCCTGTGCCAGCCCCTTATTGGGTGCAGATCAGATCATTGTGATCCATTGTGTATTCACGGGGTTTGGAAGTAAATTGCCAGCCCTTTCTTCCTGGTCCTTCTCAGTCTGGAAGCTCCACTAAAACCTGTTCAGCATCACGGTCACACGTAAGCCCCCACGGAGGGACGGTGGGGGCTGTACATGAGGCGTGTTGGCCAGGAATTGAACCTGGGTCTCTAGCGGGGAAGGCAAGCATTCTACTGCCGCACCACCAATGATCCCTGGCTCCCAGGGCATCCCTTTTCTTTTCCTTGACTTTTCGTCCCTCTAATTGTGAATATTTCAAAAATACAGAAAAGACTATAGAATAGAATGCAAGACCCAAGTACCTACCTCCCAAAACTTAATGATACTATGATTCTGTCTTCTTTCTGTAAAGATTGACAGCCTTGGAAACCCTGTGGGGCAGTTCTGTTCTGTCCTGTCGGGTCACCATGAGTCAGAATCAGCCTGACAGCAGTGGGCTTGGTGTTGGTGTGGCTGGCCCAGCAGTTTGTGCTGGACCACTGACTTGGTGGTAAGGCGGAAGTAAGGCCTGGTGATGTGCGTCCTTAAAGATCACAGCCAAGGAAACCCGTGGGGCAGTTCCGCTCTAACACGTGGTGCTGCCGCGAGTCAGAACTGACTTGATGGCAACGGGTCTGGGGTTGGATCTCTGTCTGCTTGTTGTGGTCATGTTTCCTTCAGACCTTTCTTTAAAAAAAAAAAAAAGGTGACAGGTGTGATTAAATCCCAAAACACACCCCAACTCCCAGCCTCTTCCCCAATTAGTGGGTGTGCTCTGCCATGCTTGTCCCAGTGGGATAGTCTTGCTGGGCTGGGTGAGGATGTCCACACAGGCCCCTGTACCTGACCCAGAACCTGGCCATGGCCCTGTGGGAGCCACACAACCGCATGGACCTAGGGCCGCGCATCCTCTTGACCCCCCTCGTGCGCTCCCTCCCTCTCTCCCCTCTGCCATCCTCCGCTCCTTATCTTCTCTTTCTCTCTGCTGTGTGGGGGCAGGTGGCCAGGACAGCTGCTAAGCTCTGCCACTGACCAGCCCAACCCCAACATGGGGTGTAAGTCCTGGAGCCCTGGTTTGTGGGGGGAACAAGCCCCGCACCATGGCGGGGCCCCACGGCCAGGCCCAAGGCAGCAAAGCACATGCAGCAGGCAGAATCAAAGGTGAAACGGGGCAGCTGCCGGGTCTGAGGGCAAGGACAGACCCTCCAAGACAAAGGGACGGCCGGTGTGGTGGGGGAACTGCAGCTCCCAGGGGACAGGTAGGGTTTGGGTGCCCCCCGGCTGGGGCTAGGCAGTTCCGCTCCTGCAGAGCACGAGGTGCATCAGAAGGGGTGTCCGTCGTAATGACAACTGACAGCTGGGATTGGCTGATAGAAGCAGCTGCCTCGAGCACCTCGGCTCTTTGGGAACAAAGCATGTCTTATCAACGCCAAGGAGGGCAGGCTGAGGAGAAGGTGACCAAGAGCTACGGGACAGGAAGACAGGGACCAGACAGGAGTCAAGCTTGGAGAGACACCCGGGATAGGACGTGGAGGGGGCGGCTGGAGGAAGGCGACCACCAGAACGGAGCACAGCCTAAGAGAAAGAGCGGGTCAGGGCCTGACCACCTTAGCTCCAGGGCACCAGTGCCTGGGGGACTCGCACAGGGAACTCAGGACACTGAACCTTCTGGGGAAACCAGCATGCCCATCCAGGCGCCTCGGCTGGGGCTCGGTGACGAGCTGGTGGTGGCCCCGCTGCCCCGTCCCTCCTGCCTGGTCAGTCCCAAGGGTCCGCTCCTGGACTCAGACCGTCAGCATTCAGATCCAGGCTCCCTGCTTTCTAGCAGCACCAAAGCTGACTAACCCATCTCTGTGCCTCACTTTCCTCATCTGCAGAAGGACCTGGTGGCGTAACAGTTAAGCGCTCAGCTGTGAAGGGAAACGTTGGTGGCTCCATGAAAGAAAGCCCTGGGGTCCTGCTCCTGTAGAGATCGCGGCCTAGAAAACCCCGTGGGACCTGCTCCTGTAGAGATGGCGGCCTAGAAAACCCCGTGGGGCAGTTCTGCTCCGCCCCACGGGGTCACGAGGGGCAGGCTTACCTCAGCGGCAGCCAGTCACAGCACAAGGCAGAAAAGCACACGTAGTTTTCTGCTTATATAGTTGTTGGGGGAATGAAATGAGATGGTGCAGGCAAAGAGCTTAGAATAAACCGTGCTCAGCACATAGTGAAACTCAAGGAGTGTCATTGTCGTCATTTTATTAGTCGGCATCTGCCACTACAAACTGTCATTTATATGCTGTCCTTAAAAAGGAAAAACCTCCTGTCCCTCACTGGTGGGCTTGAGTCTTTGCCTTCATTATCTCCTCAGCACCTAACAGTGTGCTGTGCACAGTAGGTGTTCAATCAAAGACTGCGGGTGTCGTCAGCACCCGCCACCAAGGCACAGCCAGCTCTGAGCTGCGGCAGAAGCACCATTCCAGGGAACCGAATATCATAAAACGCTTCAAGTTAGAAGTAAGGTCACAACCTTGAACTGAAACTATCCCCTGAAGTCACCTTTTAGCTCCACAGCACGTTAGCTCAGAAAAAATACTACCCTCTAGTACCGTGTGTCTGTGAAAACTCATCACTCTGAGACAGATGACCAATAGTCAGCATAGACGGCGGCAGGGGCCAGAAAGGAGAGGAGGTTATTGGAAATGAAGCAACGGGAAGGACAAAAACAAGAACGTTGACACAATGTGAAAATGTAACCCATGTCACTGAACTATATGTATACAAATTGTTGAAGGGAAACCTGTTTTGCTGTGTACACTTTCACAAAAATACAATAAAATACTTTTTTTATAAAAGGTCTTAAGAACGAAAAAACCCAAAGTAGCTGCCATCAAGGTGGCCTTGACTCCTGAGTGTCAGAGCAGTGCCACGCCCTATAGGGTTTTCATTACGGGAGAAGATTGCAACGGCTTTCTTCTGAGATGCCTCTGGGTGGATTCGAAACCTCAACCCTTCAGTTAGTAGCCAAGCACTTTAACAGTTCGCACCACTTGGGGACTAAATAGTTATGTGATAAAACACGAAATGAAACCAAAGCCACTGCCATTGATTCCAACTCACGATGACCCTGCAGGACACAGTAGAACTGCCCTGTAGGGCTGCTAAGGCTGTCAGTCTTTATGGAAGCGGACTGCCTCATCGCTCTCTCACGGCCTGGCTGGTAGGTTCAAACTGCCGACCTTTTGGTTAGCAGCTGAATGCTTTAACCACTGTGCCACTAGAGATTCTTGTGTGATCAAGAAAGTATAGTAAAACAGCACCAGCAGACTCCAGGTGGTGAGTACAGAGGTTTTCATCATAAAGTCCTTTCAATTGGGCTGAAAATGTTCACCAGAAAATGGTGTATGCAAGTGTAAGCTTGCTGTTTGGGGAACGTCCATTTCTATAGTGTCATTTTAATATACCTCAGGCTTCAGAGATGCCCCCCCCCACTCGCAGTTAACTGTATAAGCAACCCATCAAGTCAGGCTTGGTCTGCAGGTTAAGTCCAATGAATGGGGACTCTGACTTCTATTTGATATACTTCTTGAGAGATGACTAAGCAGTCATTTCCATGGAAACATAATGGAACCTTCTGCACAGCTAATGGAAGACTCTGCTGCAGAACACAGATGGAATGAGGGTTGTGTCTGCAAACTCCCTTCAGAGCAGGGACCGGGCACAGTCACTTCCCAGCTAACGATGGCCAGTGCACCTCCTCTCTGCTCTGCCAAGAGTCTGCCCGAATCCATACCACTTCAGGTAGCCTCTCTGGGAACACTGGGTCACTGGGGCAGAGGACTCTTGTGAGGGGGTTAGTGAGCCCCAGATGCTGGAATTGTAGGATTTCTTTGTTTTGTGGGACAGAAAAACATTGTCCAAATAAGCAACCTCTGATCTCTGGGAACCTCGGCGAGATGAATTGTGTCTGGCCCTTCAGTCATTCCACCAGGAATGACTAAGCCTGCTCACCACCCTCAAGCCACCCCCCTTTCAGCATGGTTGTTACCTTCACACTACCCACAAACCCTTCAGAGACCAAAACATGCCCAAGGGCAGGCGTGGGGGTGGGCACTGGGCAGAGAAACTCCCCCAGCGTTTACTTCCTCAGAGTCTGCATTAGGGCTCTATCCTGCAATGTCTCTGGTTGGTTTACTTTTCTGTGACTTCAGCGGTCAGGCTGTGCAGGCAGAAAGGCCACTGGTCACTAAGATGGCTTCGATCAGCTGCCATGGAGTTGATTCTGACATGATGCTAGAGCAGCACTGAGCTCCATGGCGTTCTCAGTGGCTGCAATCTTAGAAGTTGATCACCACACCTTTCTTCAGAGATGCCTCTGGGTGGACTCCAACTGCCAACTTTCTGGTTAGTGGCCCAACGCTTAGCTGTTAGTGCTTACTGGCTGCCAGTTGCAGGGAACTATTCAAAAGCAACAGGAGTGAGCCCAAAGGGGCTGGAGGAACGGCAGGACTTGGGGAACCATCAAGTTCTTCCTTGCGAACTGGGTCGGCCCAGCTCGATGGGCAACAGGTGCCCTGGGCCACTTGTTCTGTATCAACTGAACCCACAGGAATCACCTCTGCCCGTCGTCACAGGTGGGCCAGGCTGGATGTTACTCTGGGTTCTGTGCACTTCAGTGACAGGTGCCAGCCGCCACCCCCTCCGCTGCCACCAGTAGCATA